GTAACAATTTCAATTTGTAATCAAGGAATCGACGTCGTTTTAACGCCACTCATCAGGTAAATGTTTCCATTTCTTTCCAACGTCGTTTTGACGTTTTAACGTCGATAATTGTTGGTTCCATTTGTAATCATGGATTCGACGTTGCACTGACACCGTTAATTTATTAACGTAATTTATCCACTTACATTGATTATATCCATATGCAAACTAGTCTTGAAAATCTTGCATTTTCTGGTCCAAACTTGCCTCACACCCCCATAATTCAGTAGAGGAGCGTATGTAACCCAACTATCTGTATTAACCAATAACAAACAGTTTTGCACATTTTCGTGAATATTGTCAGGTATGGTACATTTATTTTGGGCAAGGATATTGTGTACTATTATTTAGTGTAGAGGATAAATTAATAAGAGTTAAAAGTTCTATGATGGGTTTAGAATTTATTTTGAAGCAACATATGTGTACAGATATTCAGTAACCTTCAAAAGTCTACCGAAATATTGTATCTTAAACCCAACGCTTTGAAAATAAAATAAATATTATGAGGAATACTTGCAAAATAGTTCCCTATAAAGACAATATCAGTCACTGCTAAACAACGAAAATCAACACTTCTAGGATAGTGAGGAGACGGCACTACCATCTACTAAGGAAGGGATCTCGGGCACACAAATATTTCTCGGAACAAATACAGTTGTTTGATTCTATGACAAAGTGTTGCCACTAAACATGCACGCTTGGCTAACGTCTCTACCTTGTGAGTGCCACACCCCCGAACCACCACCAACACACCATCACTTAGAGTGACCTCAAAGAACATTTAATTACTGTTATCTCGGCAAAATTACATTTTTTAACGAGCAATTTAGTCACTTGTTTCATCGGTTACAGCATAATCTCAGATCCCATGAGAACGGGAATGAGCATGGCTAAGTGCCATGCTGTTCGGATGTTCCTGATGACATGTGTTGGCACCAAGAGAGAGAAGTTTGGCCGGCGGCACAGGCATAGTTTCAACACGACAGAAGAGCGAAGTGGAGACTCGTCGCTGGCTAAACAGAAATGAGGGACCACTTATGTACTACGATATTTCCTCGTGTTCACATACTCTCACTCAGTTTCACATGACGGTCCACGGTATAAACATTCAGAGACTGGTTTATGGGGCCAGGTTCGTATGCCACCAGAGAAGCTGCCCACCTCGCTCTCTTAAAACATATTTAGTGCCGTACGCTAATTTAACATATTTTCGGAATTACTTTAATACAACTATATGTTGATACATTGAAGTTAATATTTGCCAGATTTCTTTGACTTTTCTAGGCTCGTTCATCATAACATTTTTCTGATCTATTTTAATTATTATGACAATGTCAGACCACGGAGGAAAAATGAAACAGGACCTTCTGAAGATGTATTTAATATACCAAAGTACTTAAGGAAATTTCCTGTTTCATTTTTCCTCCGTGGTCTGACATTGTCACATTCTTAATCACGTGTTTATTTTCGTGATATACACATTTAATTATTATATATATATATTTCAGCAAAGTGAGGAGCTTGGTGGCTAGCTGCTCAAACAGACTTTATATACTCTTCCTGACCCGTTTGAGCTCCGATTTCCCAAACATTAACTTTCAAGTGAATACGCCAATCAACCCCGAGTCTTGTGAGGGCAAGTTAATAACTTTGAGCTGTATATTCCACTTGTTAAACGTGGGGAGTCGGGGCTTTAAGAGTACATTCACATACGGCAATATATGACGTTCGGAATCAGCCTTCCCGCCCGTTTTCTTACAAAACACTTAAAACAAATGATTCACATTGATCACTTCATGGCAAATGCTGCCACGGGATCAACACTTCACTTTATAACTAACATTTGATGCAGGCTTACAGATGGACTGTGGCACATTAAGAGATAGCATATGACTAATCACAAACCTTGAGCCACATTTTGATGGGTCATCTAAGTTCCAAGTGCTGAGTAAGAAAACGAACGCTTGAGTCTTACTTGAGGCGTGATTAAGGCTCTTTTTCCATTCAACATCACACGGAAAATGAGGATCACGGCAAATAAGGTGGAAATCTAAGTCATCACTAGAAATTCATTTACCAAGTATTTCTTGAAAAGATAAAAATGTCATCTAAATGCAAATTTTCCAGCAATGACCTAAGAATCCGTTCCTCCTATTACGGTGGTGGTGAGGGGGGGGGGGGATTACAGTATAGTCAATGTTGTAAATTGGGAGTTTGGGGGGAGGCTTCTGTCTCCCTTCACGTGGATGAAGCTCGGCCTGTCGAACGTTGAAGGATCGTAATCTCTTTGATTAATCAGGTGGTAAGAGAGCTTCTTCAGCGTGCGACAGGTCAGCGCTGACACGATGGCAGTGGGATGATGAAAGCTGACTAACATTACTTTTACATCTTAATATCATTCTCTAGGGGGGAAGAAAGGGTTATTGAGGGTAATATTCACTATTATAGGAACTTTGGTCAAACTCCATTCTGGTAGTTCATTCTATAAATGATATCTGTATAAAATATAAGACAAAATAACGCCCAGGAGCAACATGCGTTGCAGAGTCTTGCTAAGTCTTGTAGCCATGTGCAATTTTGTGGGCCCAACATATCTAGTCAGCAGTTTAGGACAACCATACTTATCACAGTACCACGTATACCAAAATAGTATCCTTTTGTCCAACGATAACTGCCGTCACCATCATGACTACTCTACTCGGTCATGCATAGTTCAGACACCAGCACCATTTTTATCATAATAAAACTATCAACACCTTCGCTAGGAGAGGAGGGTCGGGGGGAAGGATTGAAGAAATAAAACCAAAAAAATACATGGGTGACTTTAATTATTCTAAAAAACACAAAATTAAAATTAAAAATTATATAGAATGTAAAAATAAGATAAAAAGAAACGCATCTGGGACAGTATTCACACTATCATAAGACCAGGCTCCCGTTCTTACTAGGAAAAAAAACTTTAACAGAGACAAATAATAGATCTAATGGCACGCCTGCAGATAGTGCTATAATGTACAGTTACTGGCAGATCTGCGCCCACTAAGAGTAATAATTCCATTTGCTCCATTCAGAATGTTACATTCAAGATTAAGTAATGCAAATTAAGATACAATTAATGTTATGCACTAAAAAGGCCCCTATTTTCTTTTTTGGGTTACATGGCATACGTTTTTAAATATAATAATTCCATCTACTGAGTCAATCTTTCCCTTTGAAACAATTGTTATCGTATAGTTAACACAATTAACCATAGTTATTTCTTACAGGATTGAACAAATATAATTGTACAGAGACATTACAACAGCTCAACCATTTTAACCCCTTAAGGAACACAGAGAAAAGTTAATATTACTATATTACAAGACAATCATTGTGCATTAAAATGCAGCCCAGTATTCCTCTGCAGTCACGGTTAACTCTATTGTAACATCCCACATGAAAATAACACTATTCATATTACTAGGTTGCGCTATCACAAATTTGATAGAGGAAAAAGAGAGCCTATGTTCACTACAAATATTACCTACAGATGTGCTTGTAAATACAACTTCCATCCGTTCATATGCAAACAAGCATTGACCAAGCAGGAGACACACACAAGATAGGATGGGCAATCAAAGAAAATGGGATATAAACAAAAAGTGGCTATAACTATAGAAAATGGGAAGAGGGTCCCCTGGCAACACAGTATGTCGGCTTGACGTACAGTATTAATAGCGAGATAACCGAGGTTGGAGGTAGTAGTGGGGTGGGTACAGAGTCAGTATAGAATAAAATACCCTGTTAAAATGGTCCTCCCACATATTGGGGGCGGACATGCGTACTTAACCAAGTGTCATGGATACTGGAGCTCATAAGCTTTGACCCTGTACCACCCACCTCTTTTGTCATGAAAAATATCCTGGGTCTGTTGTGCTCATTGAGAAAGATCCTTCCACCAATTAACATGTTATATCTAAGCTTAATCTTACTCGGCCTAGTTTGTACTACGCTCCACTACCGTAGTAGGGGGCAACGAAACCATATTAAATCTTTCTCAACAGGCTAAAAAGAGGGTTTTATTTTATTTTTTTGCCCCTTTTACATAACGGAAACGTGTGGAATAACGGTAAACTTGGTACTAAAATGCAACATCTGGATAACAACTGATAACCAACCAGGAACACGAATGCAGCACCATAGCAAATATTTAGTTTTTTTTAGACAAGACAAACTCTGGTTATTCGGTTATTCGGCGGCGCGCGGGTGATGCACAGTTGCCTAAACTCGCTTCCGTATTTACACTTTGGGGTTCTCCTGGGCACTTACTTTCACCAATTTATAAAACAAATGAGACTTTAAAGCCCAGGTATCCTTAGTTCGCGCTTATCAAAGCGAATTTTTAGTTTTTTTGTTTTTTTTATCATTTTTGGCATCAGATGCCCGTGTTCACTCTCGTACCGGAACACAACAACAACTGGGTGTGATTGCAGGGGTTCCGGACCAGGACATTATCTTGCACCGCCAGCGTCCGGTACCACCCACAATCTCAACCCACTTGCACCTTCAGCGGTGTCTTAAGACCACCCAGCGGCCAGACGGTGGGTTAAACCACGCTTTCAGGGATAACTTTACACAATTTAGACAGCGTCACACGCTGTAAAGAGCAAGAGATGACCTGTAGCTTTCAGCCAAAGCCCGCGGTCTATGGCCTGACGCGAGCACTACAGCTGCTCACCAGGGGTGAGATTCACGATGCAGCTACGCAAGCACTTACGAACCTGGAGCCAGATTCACGAAGGAGTTACGCAAGCACTTGCGAACCTGTACAACTTTTCTAAATATTTAGCGGCTTTGTTTACACTTATTAAACAGTTAATGAGCTCCCAAGCCCCAGGAGGCTGTTTATAACAATAACAACAGTTGATTGCCAAGTTTTCATGCTTGTAAACTATTTAATAAATATAACCAAAGCCGTCAAAGATTGAGGAAAGATGTACACGTTCGTAAGTGCTTGCGTAACTGCTTCGTGAATCTGGCCCCTGGTTCGTAAGTGCTTGCGTAACACCTTCGTGAATCTGGCCCCAGGTCTTAAAGAGGACCCGCGGGCTAGCACAACCGACAGGTCGTCTCACTCTTGTTCACTAATATCACACCTTGCAAAGCGCCTCGTTGATTTCTCAATTAAAATGTCAATAACAAAAATTAAAAATATAACTGCTTCTAAATATAAAAAATAACGCTCTCGAGCATAATTAAAAATAGATAAATCTTCAGAGGGAAATGTTAATGAACGGACTCAAAGCTGGATACACAAACGTCACTTTTGGAGCCGCACCGGGAGAGTCAAGATGGCGAGACAAATTACCCTTATCCAGGCCAGACTGTCAAGATCGTGGCCAGGTTGTCAAGGCCAGGCCGCCATGACTGAGGATAGCTATAAAAGCAAGGACGAGAAACAAAAGAGAGGAAATAAATGAAAATAACAATACATAGGTGGGTGGGGAGGGTCTGTACATTCACAAAGGGTGGTTGCGGAAAATGAAATGGCTTTGCCACGAACGGCAAAGAGAAATGAACCAACGAAAAGGGCTGAACTTATCGAGTTTACTTCAGGGGTTGTTGCGGAAAATGAAATAGCTTTGCCACGAACGACAAAGAGAAATGAACCAACGAAAAGGGCTGAACTTATCGAGTTTACTTCAGTCATGTCTCTTGCTAAACAAAATAAATCATTTTGGGGGGAATTCAGTAAGCCATGCACGCAGCTTTCAGCCATACTGCGAGGACATTTGGGTGAGCCTTGCCGTCCAGAGCCCTCAGTGTAGGCACTATGGGACCCTATTCACACCTGTCATCTCTCGGACTGTGCCGTGGCCTAGTTTTTTCATCTTGCATTCATGCCCAAAAAGATGGCGGGATGATGATTAAACTCAAACACTAATGTCTGTTAGGAATTAAACCTCAACAATGCGACGTTTACCCTGACAAGCATTAGATTTAGCACGTGCAATTACCATACACAAAGAGTTAAGCTTATCAGCACAGAGACTGGAGAGCAAACTCAGTCGCTGGATGCTGCCGTCTCAGGAACTTCCTGATTGGACGTTTTCCCCCGTGAGTACACTTTGGGCTCTGGACCTTCAGCAATGCTGAGGCTTCCCGAGAAGAGGAATTATCGTGGAACGCACAACCCCTTTGTCTATGCTAAGGTTCCTTTTGATTGGTCACACTGCTCTAACAAGCACACATTTCCAATCCACTAAAACCTTAAACTAGCATAAACAAAACTAGTCATGTTGAATACGAGAACTCCACTTTAGTGTGACTTATGAGCCTTTAATAACAGTCAACACTTGAATTAACAATTAACACAAACATCTGTTAACGTGCCAAACGAACAAGTAGCTATGTTGAGCAAACATATTTTGATGTATAGTTTCACTTACAGTAATATCATCTGGGAAGGTTGGACTTCTCTGTGGCTACTGTACAAAATATCACTCGTCACTGACAATCTGAGGGCCGTATTGAAGATTCGAAAGGCTGTCAGAAGTGATTACTGTAATCCACGTGCCTAACAAAATTTTAGTCACATTCAAAAACGTTTATTTTTGGCATAAAGTCACATAAGTTTGTTACTGAAATCCCTTCAGCCTAATGTAAAATCTTGGAAACTTCAAGTAAATCAGCCTAATCTTACCGTACGCATCGAGAATGCGGCCCAAAGTATGCGATGCTTACTGTGAGAGCAAGCAAGAGTTGAATTTCCAGACTTTCTAAATACATTCACTCGTCCATTCTAACAAACTCTCTTTACCTCCTTTGTCTATAACATCACGGTTTGATTTTTCATATTATATACGACAGAAGATGTTGCTACGGTCTATTATCCATGCAAATATATAGAAAACGAACCAACATTATCCTATTATTTCACTCCCTATAGTCGTAAGTACAAAAGGAAACAGTAACGAGTCGTATTAGCTATGTACCCTACTAAGTACTTTTCATAACCTTCTACCCATGCATAATATAGAACTTTTGCAGCATACAAAAGTAGTGTCCTTAGAGACTGAAGTCAAAGTGCCTGTAAAGTTGGCGGAAGAATGTAGATTAGAGAGAAGTGCTGAATACTGTAACATGTGAGGAGTTTTGATGCTTGGCCCCTGATTGCCGTTTACAAAGTCGACTCAAGTGAGGTCTGAGAATTGAGGGTCGTAATAGGTGAACCCCTGGCAGGATTCACAGCAAATCTACAGTCTTCCGAATGTTAAGCCGTTAAACTGGCATCATACATTTGTATTAAAAACAATAGACTTACAGTATCTAAAGTGAATCTTAAAAAAACACACATTTTCGAGTCTGCCAGAAGCTCTTCTTAAGACCCATATGTTTCATAATGGGAAACCTGCAACTACAAGAGACTTCAGACTATCTGATACACATACAAGACATAACGTAGAAATAATCGTATACTTCCTGGATGGAGGAGGTTAGTGCTGCCCGCGAGCAGGCTGGGCAGTCTTGCGTGGGCAACGAGGTTTAGGGAGTAAGAGTCTTAGTCCCAACGATGTGGGGGACTCTTGAAGGGGATGGGACCTTGCCAGATGCTAGGGCCAGAGACCCGAGGACAGGGGGCCAACTGGCACAAACTTTGTAAGGTATCGAAAACAATGTCATCTGGAACCGTCTGTTCTTAGAGGTAGTATATAATGAAGAAAGAAATTGGCGTCCCGGCATGTTCACTGAAGGATTTCAGTGTGAACTTTCCACAAGGAGAAATATCCTCTTGGAAATGAATGATTTTTTGTAAAAGAATACGCTGACTTAGCCAGCCGTCAGTGAGCAAGTCTGGACGCTTAGTAGAAAACAAAGTTAAGTAGTGACATGATTAAGGAAACAGATGAAAAATACAATATTTTCGTGGAAAATCCTGTATACAGTTTAAAATAAAATGAAGTGATGTTTTGTGCTACAGTCAAAGTAAAATTGTGTTTGAAGGAACCTATGGGTTTCGATGGATGGTGGAAGGCACCATAACTAGTAACAGTATTGCTTGTTTAGCTATCACGATATCGGAGAGTTGCTCACTTTAACAGTGAAGAGGAACGTGAACTGTATTCTGGTGGGTTTGTACGGGACAGCATTTGGCTGCTGTTTGTTGCTGTTGGTGCTAAATGTGGGCGTCCAGAGCTCCACTACCACCACTTCGCCTCAACCATTCGTCCTCTTTCCTCTCCAGTCTCTCTCATCTCCGCAACCACACCGTACCGGCCAGTCCTTAACAATAGCAATCTTTACAAACATACGTGAGAAGCAGTTCCTGCGACACGAGTTTCCTCTTGCGTTTAGTGTGGTTATTGCACATTTACACTAACGTTTCCCTGCTAAGCGAGCGTTTCTTAGTCAGCCGACTTGTCTTGCAGACCTCGTCCACCTATCACTGGGCACGTATCACAACTCGTCACTGGGCTCTCACTGGGAGTGGTGGCCACAGCTCTTGCTGCTGCCGCCAGGCGGCGCCCTCTCCCGTGCCTCTGCCCCGTGCCATCAATACCCTGTATTCAGCCCCTCCTACCGGCTCAGTCCACACATTGCGGCCCCAGCACCGTAGGGAAGCGCCTGAGTCGCGAGCCGCCGTATGCGGCCCACTCCCAGTCGACATCGGGGCCTGGTTGCGGCCCGCACTCCACTCGACAAACTATTGAGTAACACCCTTGTCCTTAAGCAGCAAGTCGGAGCTCATAGTAGGTTGGTGGGCATAGTTACGAATCTGGTGGAGTGAAATGAGCTGGTTGGGGAACTGATTGGGCTTTACGTCCATGGAGGGCATTTGTGTGTGAGTCTTAGGGAAGCTGATGGGATCATATGGGAAGTACCGCTGTGAAGATGACGCCGCCATGGACAATTGAGTCCCTCCACTGATGGGCAACATACTGGTCTGGATCGGCGTGAATGCCGACGACGTCTTTGTAGCAATGGCATCGTAGGACATGTTGGAAGCTGGCATGTGGGCAGGAGTGTGGCGCAGTTCCTCGCCACGAGGATCAATGTGCTCTCGGGATGCTAAGTGGCGCGTCGGGTCCAAGGAATTTTGAAGACAAGTTTCGGACATGCGGTTATCCATGGATTCGAGAGCAGTGGTGTCCGGCTTAGGCCAGTACGGGTTATCCTGCCGTAGTCCATGGGTGGAGAGGGAAGGCCGCTTGTCAGGTCGTTCTGCGTGCTTTTGCATGTGCTTCTGAAGGTACGTCTCCTGAGTGTAACTCTTGCCACAATACTGACAAATATGAGTCTTGAGATGCTTGCTCTCCTTGTGTTTGGGAATGTGCTCCAAAAGTGAAGCTTCGTCCGCAAAGCACTTGTAGCACGAGTTACACTTATAGGGCTTGTCCGTTTGGTGGCACCGTGAATGAGACTGCAGATTCGACAACTGGCTAAAAGCCTTATTGCAGCCAGGATGGCGGCATTTGTAGGGTTTGTCACCTGTGTGAGTGCGGATGTGCTGCTGCAGATGGGAAAGCTGCGTGAATTTTCGTTGGCAGATCTCACAGCGGTAGGGTTTGATGCCCAGGTGGATCCGTGTGTGTTGAGACAAGTACGAAGAGTTGGCGAAGGCTTTGGAGCACTGGGAGCATTTGTAGGGCTTGGCCTCCCGCATATGGATCTGTGTGTGGAGCTGTAGGTCAGCCTTACTCCCGAAGATCTGCAAATAGAAAAGTAAACCTTTAAAACCGTGTTTAAAACCACTCCGTAAACACTAAATTAAGCTGTTTTTATTAATAAAATACAAGTTTAAGGTTGTAAGGCAGGGAGAGCTTGCCCTGAACTGCCCTGGAGCCGGTCGGCCGAGCGGACAGCACACTGGACTTGTGATCCTGTGGTCCCAGGTTCGATCCCAGGCGCCGGCGAGAAACAATGGGCAGAGTTTCTTTCACCCTATGCCCCTGTTACCTAGCAGTAAACTAGGTACCTGGGTGTTAGTCAGCTGTCACGGGCTGCTTCCTGGGGGTGGAGGCCTGGTCGAGGACCGGGCCGCGGGGACACTAAAGCCCCGAAATCATCTCAAGATAACCTCAAGATAACTAGGGGAATAGGGTTGCCTCTCCCCCCCATCTGGGTATGAAAGGGGCAGTAAACACGTAATTACATTAACACCAATACCACCTAATTTATCCTTGAGAGGTACACCATTACCGCTATTTGCAAATTATAAATACCCTAATATTTACCTCAGAAATAGCTACATAAACGCTAAATGCCTTTGTAATGGCATGAATGTAATGACCCACAATGAAACCATTTATATGCTGAACGAGCAGCGAGACGGTATATGTGTGCGTAGGTTGGTACTACCCTGGAAACACAAACCGAAACTCTCTCTATTTTCCGCTTGTTACAACTTGAAATAAAGTTGTTACATCTTGGCTTAACGTGTTTATGACGTATTAGAACGTTGTTACAACTTGCTATATTGGTTGTTATAACTGGTTAGGTGGTGTTAAAACTTGCTCGAACGTTGTACCAACGTCGTAGTTTCGGTGTGTGTTTGGTGGGTACACGCCTTCATTCCACCTATTACCTGGTCAGACGGCCCTGGCAACCGCTCCCTGCCAGCCCTACGAGCAATTAAACAAGGGTCAAACGTCAGTGTTTTAGCTTATGATTGCTGGGGAAGCGGGACAAAAAGGTGAAACGGGTGTCGAACGGCAAGGTAAAGTGTGTCTTACAATGTTCTTAGGTTTGGCTCAAGAGTCTTTATATACCTATTTGTCAGCTAATTTTAAGGCTCGAACGTGAATGAGTAAATCGCAGATGTTTTGAACACAAAGTTAATTTGCATTCATTTGCCGTATTTTCTTTATATTGTATTAAGTCCATGTTGAGTCCATGTTAAGTCCATGTTGAGTCCATGTTAAGTCCATGTTGAGTCCATGTTAAGTCCATGTTGAGTCCATGTTAAGTCCATATTGAGAATACGGATCACTGTCCACAGTCATCCCCACCACCACTGTACACAGTCATCCCCACCACCACTGTACACAGTCATTCCCCACCACCACTGTACACAGTCATTCCCCACCACCACTGTACACAGTCATCCCCACCACCACTGTACACAGTCACCCTCACCTTCACTGTACACAGTCATTCACCACCACCACTGTACACAGTCATCCCCACCACCACTGTACACAGTCATCCCCACCACCACTGTACACAGTCATCCCCACCACCACTGTACACAGTCATTCACCACCACCACTGTACACAGTCATTCACCACCACCACTGTACACAGTCATTCCCCACCACCACTGTACACAGTCATTCCCCACCACCACTGTACACAGTCACCCCCACCACCACTGTACACAGTCATTCACCACCACCACTGTACACAGTCATTCACCACCACCACTGTACACAGTCATCCCCACCACCACTGTACACAGTCATCCCCACCACCACTGTACACAGTCATCCCCACCACCACTGTACACAGTCATTCACCACCACCACTGTACACAGTCATTCACCACCACCACTGTACACAGTCATTCCCCACCACCACTGTACACAGTCATTCCCCACCACCACTGTACACAGTCACCCCCACCACCACTGTACACAGTCATTCACCACCACCACTGTACACAGTCATTCACCACCACCACTGTACACAGTCATTCCCCACCACCACTGTACACAGTCATTCACCGCCACCACTGTACACAGTCATTCCCCACCACCACTGTACACAGTCATTCACCACCACCACTGTACACAGTCATTCACCACCACCACTGTACACAGTCATCCCCGCCACCACTGTACACAGTCATTCCCCACCACCACTGTACACAGTCATTCCCCACCACCACTGTACACAGTCATTCACCACCACCACTGTAGACAGTCATTCCCCACCACCACTGTACACAGTCATTCACCACCACCACTGTACACAGTCATTCACCACCACCACTGTACACAGTCATTCACCACCACCACTGTACACAGTCATTCACCACCACCACTGTACACAGTCATTCACCACCACCACTGTACACAGTCATTCACCACCACCACTGTACACAGTCATCCCCGCCACCACTGTACACAGTCATTCCCCACCACCACTGTACACAGTCATTCCCCACCACCACTGTACACAGTCATTCACCACCACCACTGTAGACAGTCATTCCCCACCACCACTGTACACAGTCATTCACCACCACCACTGTACACAGTCATTCACCACCACCACTGTACACAGTCATTCCTCACCACCACTGTACACAGTCATTCCCCACCACCACTGTACACAGTCATTCCCCACCACCACTGTACACAGTCATCCCCACCACCACTGTACACAGTCATTCACCACCACCACTGTACACAGTCATCCCCAACACCACTGTACACAGTCATTCCCCACCACCACTGTACACAGTCATTCCCCACCACCACTGTACACAGTCATTCACCACCACCACTGTACACAGTCACCCTCACCTTCACTGTACACAGTCATCCCTCCCACCACCACTGTAAAGTCACCCTCACTGTACACAGTCATCCCCCCCTACCACCACTGTACACAGTCATCCCCACACTGTACACAGTCACCCTCACTGTACACAGTCACCCCCACACTGTACAGTCACCCTCACTGTACACAGTCACCCCCCCCTACCACCACTGTACACAGTCACCCCCACACTGTACAGTCACCCTCACTGTACAGTCACCCTCACTGTACAGTCACCCTCACTGTACACAGTTAACCCCCCCCCCAACCACCAACCCCAAAACCAATATCTTCTTCCATCCTTCATATAATAAAAAACCGTTAGGAAGCTGCCTACAGATCCATATCCGCTGAGGTTCCGCAAGGGTTAAACAGACCTGGCCTACACCGGCGGCCTCCCCCCCCCTCTCACCCGGCCTACCCCTGCTCAGCCCTTTCTTCCCCCCCCCCCTTCCCCCTCTTTAACCATTAGGTCTATCTCGCCTCCTTGCCCGATTGCTTGCTCGCTCCTATCATACCCACATCAGTATGTGCCTTGTATTATGAGTTTATAGACCTATTTGGCCTACCCAAATTCCATCCAAATCTATCAATCCCATCTATAAATCCAAATCCTCCTTTGCCCGAAACGCTATGCGTACTAGTGGCTTTAGGTATTGTATGTACTATCTCTCTCTTTAAATCTGTTTGTACTGTAACGCTGTAACTATGTACTGTTCCTAAATAAATTATAATTTATTTATTTATTCCGCGGACTAACGTTTAGGTTCACAAGGCTGGTTTGATGTACAGGAGAGGCCTGGTCGAGGACCGGGCCGCGGGGACGCTAAGCCCCGAAACCTTAAGGTGATCAAGGTAACCTCAAGGTAATCTTCCCCTTGACAGTTCAAGGTATTAAGGCTTGCCTTACCTCCCCAAATTGGGCAGTTACAAGGATTCGAACCTGCGTCCGGGAGCATCCCAGACACTGCCTTAATCGACTGAGCTACGACAGGGTTAAGGCAAATTTCCCCACGTCGAAGACCCTTTAATCAAATATATTTAAGAATGCTCTATATCTCCTTCAATCCCATCCACAAATCCTTATCCTGATCCCTTCCAAGTGCTATAAAGTCGTAATGGCTTGCAGACGAGGAGTCACAATAACGTGGCTGAAATATGTTGACCAGACCACACACTAGAAAATGAAAGGACGACGACGTTTCGGTCCGTCCTGGACCATTCTCAAGTCATAATGGCTTGGCGCTTTCCCTTCATAACTCCAAATTCCACTACATTCCGGAAACCGGGCCCGTGGGTCATGGCACGAGAGATATGCAGGAGAAATATAATATACAGGAAATCCTCCTCCTCCTCCTCAGTGTATTTAAACAATGTTGCATTAGCAGAGAAAAACATCGCTCAATCAACACAACTCAAGACACATGCACCAAACACATGTGTATATTCCTATGTAATAATACATATACCTAACACCTGTTGCATTACATACCTATTACAATAATATATATTTATTATGTATTAATTATATCCCCTTCTCCGACGCTTTATATATATATATATATATATATATATATATATATATATATATATATATATATATATATATATATATATATATATATATATATATATATATATATATATATATATATATATATATATATATATATATATATATATATATATTATATGCGAACAAGCCTGAATGGACTGAGGTGTGAGTCACTTCTGGGGTGTGAGTTTTCAGTCATATATATATATATATATATATATATATATATATATATATATATATATATATATATATATATATATATATATATATATATATGTATGTATTAGCAATTGTAGCCATAATAATACCAATATATTCGTACCCACAATTTTATAATTTAGCCATAAACAAATCCCAATATTATATTTTACAAAAATAAATCAGTGGAAGAACAGACCTTTAAGTTAAAAAACCCACCCCGTTAGCCCCTGAAAAAAGGTACTAAAAAGCGGATACAGGAAAGGTCCCCCACTTTAAATCCAAGATGAAAAATAGGGGTAAAGATCCACGTGGTTTTAACCCATAATGTGCGCGGGCTTTTCACGGCCAGTGTAAATAAGACCCCAGCTGGCATAGGCCTATTGCCGCCTGGAGGATAAGGACACCTA